TACATACATACACATACACATACAGACAACACATGCATGTACCTTCATCATCATTCATCAATCCATACATGCAAATGCGCACAAATTTTACGTTGATGGTCTGATAAGGCTTTATGCATGTATGAAGTCTGCTGTTTATACTTTGATTCAGATACACCCGAGAGTATGCAGGTAAATAGCCACTCAATCCGAACATCCGTGGATCCATCACAAATGATTGCAAAACGCTTCGGTTTCTTAGACAACTCGTTTGCACATGCTCCCCGGCCTTGAAAATCGTAACTGCCATGTGGGCATTCCAGAATGACTATGGCACATAGTTGTCAGGGTCTAGGGCCTGGGCTTATAGGGTTGAGGGCGTAGGGTTAATAGGGTTTAGGGCACTGGTAATTATGGGGATTAGGGAGCTGAAAATAACTTGACAAGGTGCTCAGCTGCCTACTTGAGATCTGTACTGCACTGCTACTACTATTATTCTAAATGCTACTCGTGTTCCTTACTCTTGCTTTGCTCCTATTTCATCACCATACATGGATCCAAGGTCTGCTGCTGAAGCAAGCACTGCAAGACAAACTACTTCCACGATATGCAATACTGATCCCAGATACTACGCTAAGCTCCGAGGAAAATTACCGTATTCAGCCTGGATGCAACCCTCCAAAAAAATCAACTGCTAATCTGTGCCTTGCGAAAGTATGAGTAGTAGGGTGTGCTGCTCCGTGTGGAGCATGCTTTATCGGGCGTTCTCACTGCAAGTCCCGATGCAATGCTGCAAACGCCCTGAACCCTGAACCCCAGAACCCTAAATCCTTAAGCCCTAAACCCTGCAAGCCCTGAACCTCTGGCAAGTCGGGATGACGGAAAGTGCAAGGCTGGAGCAGAAGAGGTCTCGAGAGGACCAAGGTGTCCTAGCGTTTTGGGCTTTAGCGCTTTAGGGCATCAGGGTTGAATGCATGAATCAAGAACGGCGCTGCGCACATCTCTGTGCGACTCTGCGTGTGTGTCCCCGTCCCTGCAGTCTTTAGCTTGAACTCTTGTCCGGAGCCAACGGTCTATGTACAGAACGCGTTTTTCACGTTCGGATCGGTTCCAGGTTTAGCATTAACAAGCAGCACCTCCCAACAACGTGGCACCGACATGCATACAACACATTTACATGATACACCTTGGTTGAACTATCATTGCGAAGTTCCGGGTCTGCAGCTCGCTCCAATTCCTCAGTCGAAGCCTCCGACAGAGAACCTGGCAAATGACACAGCCTCTGGTCTCATGCGGCAGGTCAGGCGTTAGACCGTAGAATGCAGAAGTTTGAAGTAGCGAAGCTGCAGTTGAACAGGTGATGCTGAAACAAAATCAAACGGAAAACACCAACAGCGGAGACCCCGAATCTCTACCACGCCTTCATTGTTGAAATCAGCTGAAACCAGAGGGCCCTGGTTGTAAGTCCTCAACTCCAACGAAGCACCTACCCCCCCGTCGAAGGGTCCTGAACTCTGAGACGCTGGACGTGATACTTTCGTAAATTTCACCAATATGGCCACAACCCGAATGCTGTTTATATCAAGACATTGCCAGCGGAAAGCTGTACAAAAAGTCAAGCTTACCATCATCGCAGTCATGATAAGCAGTCCTTAGCATTCAGGGCTTTTGGAATTGGGGTTTAGGCTATAGAGGGTTGACTGATTTGGTGCTTTGGGTTTCGATCTCTGTGCTTCGGGTGTAACAGTGCCAGGACAAGTGCCACGGGCGGTAGGTCCCAAAAGGACCAGTACAGTACAAGCAGGAAGGGCAATGAAGAGTAATCATGACTGGAGACGGCGTGGAACCGCAATGCACTAACTGTCATATATACCATTTCAAGCATGATGCTCGTGACGATGACACTCACCATGAAGCTATAACCCCATACCCGGTGCCCCAAGCATCCTTCAAACACTAAACACCTACAGCCCTGAGAACCAACAAAGCCCTCCAGCCGGCTCAAACATGCAGCCTCCGCGCATTGGGCCGCTTGTCGCTGGACCAACCAATGAGACCTCGGTTTAGGGAGCGTTCGCTTTAACACTAATGTCTAGTGTAAATATCTAATGTAAAAGATATGTGTGGATATATATATATATATATATTACATATTACTATTGTTGCTATATATATATATACTAGTATTATAGTATGTATGTACACACACACAGAGTAGTATACATAACATATCATGTCGAACCTTCGCGGGCAAGAGGCTTCGGGTTGAAGGCTGCTTAAGATGTTCGGGCCTTTAGGGTTCTCGGGCTTTTCAAGGGCTGTGAGCATTTTGGGGTCTCGGATGGCTTCAAGTCTTTGGAACTTTGGGGGTTTCCGGGCTTTGGAACTTTGGGGTTTAGGATGGTTTAGGGTTTAGGGGTCTGCGGGTTTCAAGGTGACGGGTAAGCGATGCATCGGGCCTGAGAGGACAGGGCGGAGCTTCCGCTCTCGATGTTCGGGCCAGCAACAAGTACCAAGCAACCGTTACCCTGGACTCCGAGCTCCCAACAGACAGCAGAACCCTCAACTTTAGACCTGAAGGATCCAAAGCGAACCGAAGAAGTCTCCCCATCTCCCCAAAAACAAAATACAACAAACAAACTCTACCAGCCACAGGCAGGTACTTTCGGGGTCGGGACGATTAGTAATGGCCTTTCCCTTAAGTGACTTAACAGATTCTACGACGATCTACCCCTGAAATCTGCCTTACATCGCTAGTCTAACCACTCTTCTTCTTCTTCTCATTGTTGTCTTAATTGCTACTTGTATTACTACAGTACTATTATTCCTTGCAGTGTCTCCTCCAGGCTCGAGGCTCGAGATAGAACCGGTCGAGAGCTGGCGCTCCATCGCCAGCCCCCTAAGACAGGGTGTTTTTCCAGGCAGGGTTTTAGGGGCTAGGGCTACCCCGAGAGTTCCGGCGCTGGCAGAGCCGAGTAGGGTTTTCAATTGTTCGGTTCAGCCTATGGGGTTAGCTATGGTTAGCTTCTGGTTCAGGCCTCGGCTGGAATCGATGAGACAGTTCTCTGTGTCAGGGCACGTGCGATGCGCAACGGTGCTGAGATGTGCTGAGCAGGAGACTTGCTGCGGACCTGCTGCAACGGCAGAAACCTCCCGGAGCCGGGAGCTTGCAAGCGGATGGAAGAACGAGAGAAAGAGATCCAAGGAACTTCGCTTGACGAAGGGCCCTTGCCAGGGCTCGGGCCTTCTCTCTTGTCGGTTGGACTCGTCCCCCAGAGAGATCTCGGCTTCGAGCTCTTGTAGCAAAGCCAAGGCTCCCGGAGCCCTGCCTGGGCCGAGCTCGGGTGCGTCTGCGCCTGGATGGCGCGAAGGCCTCGCAGACGTCAAAACCGTTCGCCTGTCTTCCACGTTGCAGAAGACACCCCAGTCAGCACCGGGAAGCGGGCTGTCTATCACAGGACGGAAGTCGTGACATCCGCCACTAGTTGGACTCCTCGCCCAAAGCAAGCAAGAACTCTTCGTCTCGCTGTTGCTGTTGTTATTGCCGTTGTCGAAACCCATGGCAATGACTGCCAGGCGCTCCTATCCATTCGCACTCGACAATTGTCTACATCGTGGGGAGGAGCCTTTGTTTCCAACTCTTGTAAGCATCCACACCATGCCGCTCCTGCATCTATTCGATCATCACCATCATCATCATCATCACCATCACCATCACCATCGCCAGCACTTTCGCCGCCACCACCACCACCGCCCCCCCCCCCACCCCCGCCCCCACCCCCACCNNCCCCCCCCCCCCCCGCCGCCACCTCCACCACCGTCGCCCCTGCATGCCCCTGCCACCACCCTGACCATCTTGCATCCACAGCACTTTCCTTCTGGTGGAGACGCTTCTGCATCATCCTGCCTGCCTGCGGTTAAGGCAAGGAGAGTCAGAGGTTTCGGACGCACCTGCAAGCTCCCAGCTTCCATGCCGTACCTGGCAAGACAGGGCAAGAGCTACGGGCGTGAGCCGGTCCGAGGTTCAGAGTGGTCTTCTGCAGTTGAGCCGAGGCACCCTGTTTGAAAAGCCGGCAGAACACCACACCCGGAGACCTCGCAAGGAGAGGTTGGAAGGATGCAAGGGGATGCGCTGGTTTCGGATCCGAGGCTTTGGTCAGCTGACGGCTGAGGTTGCTGCGACGGCTTCGACTTGAGGAGGCAAGTCGACACCTGCGACGGGCTTGGACTGGCACAGGACACAGCTTGTGAGCTCCGTGAGACTGTGGGAT